TAAAGTCTCTGTTTTAAATATAGACTTCCAGAGAAGAATGGTGGGCTGAAGAAAACTGTGAAAAATAGAGCCAAAATTTGTAGCAAAAGACAGAGGGCTGCCAAGTAGATTTGCTTCTTTGATCCTCTCAGGATAAAGAAGGGATATGAGATAACCCAAGCTGCATTCCATATGGTTGCTTCACACAAGGAAATTAAAAGCAGTGGTTTCCAGAGAATGGAAGAACCAAGAACTGAATTTGCCAACCACCCACAGAGGTTTCAAATGACACTAAGTTCACACTTCTTTTGTTAACTATTTTTAGAAATTCGTCTATTTATTACTTTAAAGAAGTCATTTTATTCAAAATGACAGGTCTGGAAATATACTAAGTTAGTGCCTTCAATCCTTAATATAAGAAAATAAAAATGTATTTGTATAATTTTTAATAATTTAAAATAAACAGCAACAAGCGAAGCAAGGTTTTGACTTTAGAAAGTTTTAAATGGATTAAGGGCTCAGAAAACATTGGAATATTGGACTCTGAAAATTAATATTTTGTAATTCATTTTAAAGAATAAATTTATTTTTGTGGGAAAGAAGAATTGTTTTTGATACTGGAGACATACAAGACCAACAACTTATAATAGCATTCAGAGATAGTTTTGAGGAATTGCATTGGGATTTTGAATCAATAAGGTCAACTATGTTGTATTTTTTTAGGATTATGCTATTCCCAGAAGAAGTTGTTACAGAAAAAGTTATGTCGCAAACTATAGCTGAGAACTTGAATAAAACTCGAAAAAGAATTCATCATCTGTGAAAAAACAAACAACAAACTGGATGAGGCTTTAAAAATTAAAGTGGAAATGAAAATGACAATCCCAGGGAGCAATTGGAATAATTTCTTTTTGCTGGATTTACAAAAAAAAAAGGCTGTTTAAAGTTTTGAAGAAATTTGAAACAAGGATCAATCATATGAATGGATTAAAGAGCAAGACTAGTTTATATTACAAGAAGGATTACAAAGTTGGTTCATTTGACCAGGGTGAAAATGGGACATGTTGCTATTGTGAGTTGCTATTTTTGATTTGCTGACATCTGGAATGGAAAAATGTTATGTATTGGATCTGCTTACAGTTAACAAAATATTTAAGTCTTTTTCCCTACAGTCACTTTATGTATTCTAATCTGACAGGCTTTGTACTTAAATTTTTTTTCACTTAAAATAAGTATTTTTATGAGCTTATTTTTTTTAAAGAGAAATTATCCCTCTTTGTCATGTTAACTTTTAGTCTTTTGTTTATATTAGGATATTGGGATTTCTTTATGTCTCTTAATGTGGTTTTCCTTATAGCTAAGAGTTCAGAGATTGAATTTTTATTTAAAGAGATATGTTGTTATTTGAGATGGTTTCTCTTTGGATTTGCTGACATCTGAAGTGGTGAGTTTGATTACAGTTAAACGTAATGTTTAAACTTTTTTCCCTATAGCTATTCTATGAATTCTAATCTGATGATAGCATTTAACTTGTATTTAATTGTTATATTTAATTGTCTTTCTACTTAAAATAACATTTGTGAACTTGTTTTCTTAAGGGAGAAATTCTCCCTTTTTATCAAATTAAATTTCAGACTTTTGTTCACAATATCACTAGAATATTGAGGTCACTTTAAATATGGATTTGCCTACAGTTAAGAGTTGAGATGTTTATCTATGTTAAAGTTATTATTCTTCAGCTCTAGGCTGAAGAAGCTTCTTGGATGAGAAACGAAACATCTTCAAAGAAAAACAAGAAAGTCCAGTTGCTTCTTGAAAAAGCACCTTTGGGACAACCATGACCTGGATGACTGAGAATCTCCATAGACATTTATTCATCCAGTATTTTTATTATAGTATTTTTGAGTTTCCCATAAATCTTTTCAAAACTGGATTGTTTCCTTTTTGTTTGATATTCCATTTTTGGAATTTCTAGTATCATTTATACTGTGGTAGAATTACCTCTGGTCCAAATGAAATAGCTGATTTTGCTTAAATCGGATGATTCATTCCTCATAGCTTTCGATTTTGCCAACTATTGCTTGTACTTGTTGGTTTATGATTTCCAAATCTTCTTTATATTTTCTGATGCTAAGCCAATATCTTTTTATTAGGCTTGTCCTGATCCTTGCATTTTTCAATTTTTGCTCTTTCATATTTTTTAAATTATTTGCTTCTGATCTTAATTGCTTTATTGTGGCCTCCAATCTGCTCTTCCACTTGGGACTGAATATGATTTTGATTTTGATTTTCTAATTTCAGTACTCAGTTCTTCCATATTCACCACTGTTGTACTGTAGGCAAGCTGATTGGTCTCTTCAATAGATGTTATTTTAATCATTATTCATATCCTTCATTATAGGTGCAAGGTGTTTTTTTAAACTAGTATAATTATTGGATCTAATCCCAAAAATATGCTTTCTTTGCACTAGGCAATTAACAGATTTTTCCAAATACATAAAATGGAAAGGATATGCAACAATTTGATACTGAATAATAGCTGGTATAAAAGCCTGGAAAAATCCTGTTGATATGATGGAAGAACAAATATCTTACACTAATATCTTACACATGGAGAATAAATATCTTACACTAGGATAAGCATCCCACACCTTGTGTGCCACACAAATTCTCAGAAATTGCTGAAAAATAGGCCTGCCTATCTCAAGGGCATCCAGGTTCAAAAAGATTCTGCTAGGATGCACACTGATTTGCAAACCGTTTTTAAAAATCATTTCATTATGAGATTTCATTATGGCAAAAACATATAGACTTTAAAATTAAGCCTTGGCACATCCCTAAATTAAAAATGTTATACGGCTATCTAAAAAGTTTTAAACTTTAGTGAAACGTAACTATTAGCGTGGTAGAGGATCTATTTTTAAACTACATTGTCATCTATTGTTTTACATTATTCCATTCACAACCACTGCCAGCTGTCAAATTAGCAATGTAATTCATTTTGAAAATCATTAGAGCCTAACACAGTCTGACAAGCAAAAGTGAGGAATACTAACAGAAGAATGGAACAAACATGAAAAATGTGATTCTGTTGGGCTTTTTCAGCCTTGTGAGACTATAATCGCGAAAGAAGCGGAATGTTAACTTTTTGCTCCCGTCCTTAGCAATTCCACTTGAATTTTAAAAGGAAATTAAGGAAAGACAGCCCCTAGCCAAAAAAAAAAAAGGTCCGTAAAAATGAACTGAAGTATTTAAAGGAAATTGGCAGGGTCACACGTGTAGCTTTCCTAATACAAAAAAAAATTAAAAATAAAGCTTTTGAGTGTGGTAAAGTCAATACAAAGTTTTGTTCATATTTCAAGCATTGGGGAAGGAATATGAATATGCATACAGAGAGAAAGAGAGAGGTGGAGGAAGGGAGGAAAAGGGAGTAATGTGGGGAGATGACACTCCTCCAAACATCCCTATTAGAAAGCAGGGATCATTGACAGAATATCCCAGAGATAAATCCTGCTTTCTTATACCACAATCTGGCCTTGGTAGTAAAATAGAAAGAAGCTTGACTTTCTGCAAAAAAAGATGAAGAAAACAAAACAAATGGAAACCCTGAGGTTCTGGATCTGTAGCCTGATTTAGTTGGAAAAGGTATATCTAAAGAAAGAATTAAAAAAACCATTATAAATATCACAGTTGAATAACAGGTAAGATATGGCGAAACAGATTTTTTTACTTTGTTGCAAAACAATTATTGTCTCCTCTTGCAGCTAGAGCTAGCCTTCTTTCCTTCCTTCCAGCAGTTTTTCAATTTTTTTCCCCCAAAAAGGAAATGGTTAGCTTGGATCTCCATAATGTCAGATTCTGAATATGGGAAATCTACTCCTGGTCTCTACCCTGGTTTTAGCAACAAAAGTATTTGATCATGCTCAAAGGAGAAGAGAGCAAATTCAGCCTTATTGATTTTCTGCATGTTTCAACAGTGTTTAATCTATCTGATCATGCTACTCATTGAAAGAGTTTTTTTCTTGGCCTGATAACAAGCAATTATGGGTAAAGTATTTACAGTTGCAGACTCCCCTGTAAAGCTAGGAGAAAAAGAATAATTAGAAAGTCTGTCCCCCTATGCAAACACAGAAATACTGATTCTAAATTGAAAATAACTCACTTGCCGTAATCCTTATATCAATAATGCTTTCATCTAAGTAAAGCTTGCTAAAGAGAATTTTAGAAGATTCGTGTTTGGAAAGAATCACTTTTTTATTCAAGTCTGACAGTTTCACAATGACTGATCAGTTGGAGGCTAGATGAAACTGCCTTAGGACCACATCTACTAGGATTTCATTATCTAATATCTAGCAATGAAGAAGGAAGCTACACAACCCCCCCCCCCCATAAAATAGGCCCATAGATTGGGCTTAATATTTATCTAAAACAAGCTCGAGAGAGGTATAAAATCAGATTGGATCAGTGGTTGCATCAGCAGTCTTGAAAGCAGGAAAAAGTTCAGTATGTGTCCCAGACTACACTTCCTGTTTATAGCTTAGAATAAAATATGCAGATATCTTGGATTCTTATTTTTCTAAAGATGAAACTAGCATGTCCTGAGATGTGCCCTGGTGGCACAGTGGTTAGAATGCAGTATTGCAGGCAAACTCTGACCATATCCTGGAGTTCGATCCTGATGGGGTTCAAGAAGCCTTCCACCCTTCTGAGGTCAGTAAAATGAAGACCCAGATTGTTGGGGGCAATATGCTGGTATTGTAAACTGCTCAGAGGGTGCTTTAAAGCACTATGGGGCAATATAGAAGTCTAAGTGCTATTGCTATTTGCAAATCTGTGAATGTTGCACTCAGAAGACAGCATAAAGAATCCATTCACCCTCTACCTTCGGCATTGTGACCAGACTCCATTCATCCTTTATTTTAGTATTAGCTTTTACTCCACCGTTATCATTTTTAAAACTGTTAGACCATTTTGTAATTTACCAAAACAATATTCCTCCCAGAAGAAAATGGCATTCTTACCTTGTCTTTATTTTCAGAGCCAGAGGCTTCAAGTTTGGTTCGGATCACAAAAGGGGTGGAGAGTCTCAGAAGGACACGATCAAACATGGCTGCAATCTTTGGAGAAACAATTTCAAAGCAGTCCTGGAATTTCAATGTCTTATGAACCTCACACTTGAGCTGTTTCCTCAGTCCTTCACCCAGCTGTAGTACCAACATGCTGGGATCAAACATCAGATGGAAAGGAAAAGCACGGCAGAAGGTATTAATGCTTATCCTCAAATCTGAGGGGGATTGAGATGTCCCCAGAGGAAGCGCTTTTGTGATATATGCATTTTCATGCTCTTTGATAATAAAAGTGAGACAGCTGCAGTTGCCTGGGTTTAGGTCCTCAGAACATAGTTTATCATTTACAATCTGTTCCACTTCAACATCCAGTTGGTAGATCTTCCTTGCTGCTGCCTTCACCATGCCCATCATGGCAAACCCAACAATCTGATGGGGATGAAAGTAGTGAAGCATCAGGTTGCCTTCAGGGAGCTCTTTGCATAGGAAAGAAGGGGATTCTGAAGTGACCTGCCTCCCAAACGAAGTCCTTATGTGCTCCAGCAAAGCATCAAAGCCATTAAAAAAATCTTGCAAGGTGCCACCCACAGCTCGAAGAACTCTCTCATTCTCATTGAAGCAGATATTGAAGAATTCAGCCCCGAATTTCTCTTGTAGCTCCTCAAACTTTAAACCTGGAATAGACATAGGTCAGTATGAAATCACAGTGGAAATGATCCGGAGAGACAAAATTTATTTATTTATTATTCCAATTTGTATCCCGCCCTTCTCCCGAAGGACTCAGGGCGGCTCACAACATTATTAAAAACAAAGAGAGACCCACACACCCCACCGAATAAAACCAAATTAAAACCAATATTTTAGTGTTGTGATAATTAAAATTTCTAAAAAACCCAATTTAAAAATCCTCCCTAGGCCAGGCCCGCTTG